TGATAAATAATGCAGGGGTCAAATGGGCCGAGGAGAGGATGGTTTTAAGTACCCCAGAGAGTAGGTTAAAGGTCGGAGTAAAGAGACGCAGAGGAAATGGATGTGTTGGACCTGAGACTCTTATGCTGCGTGTTGTGGTGTGTGGGACTAGCTTAGCACGTTAGCATTGGTTACAGACAGTTATTTCTGTTTCATCACAGACTTGTTTTTCATTTAATCTGCTCCCGTTTTTTTTTTTTTATCGTCCACATTTCTGTGTTTGCCTCATCCTCAGACCCAGACGTGTGTCTGCCACGCAAGGAATTCCGCAGTCACCTCAGCAACTTCGCGCACACACACACACACACATGCGCACACACTTCTTTGCCGCCGTACAATTATGTGGGTGTGTGTTTGTGTCTGCAATATGTGAGAATGTGACACGTTTTGCAAGATCCACAGTCACCATAGAAAAGCAGCTTCTTGATGTGAAAAGCAACTGTGTGTGTGTGTGTGTGTGTGTGTGTGATGGGAGTGACTGGTGTTATTGGGTTTTTGGCCTCAACGGTGGAAAAAAAAACAAAAAGAGACGCAGACGTTTACGTACGAGTGTCGGCAGTTAAAGAATTATTATTTTTAAATGTTCATTTTTGAAGCCCGTTTGTCGTCTCTGATCAAACGTGTTTTTGGTCCGTGAACTTTTTAACATTCAGGTCAGTTTGACTCTAACCTTGTTGTTATGTTTCAGTGAATGTTAAAACCACGGCACTTGTTTTGTTGTTGGATTCATCCTTAGAGATACTGTAGCTCAGCTGTTTGATTGTGTGTTTCCTGCCAAATGTGAAATAAGAGGACGGCGGTGAGAGGCGGAGGAGGAGGAGGAGGAGGTGGGAGGCGGAGGTGGTCTGTGATAGGCATCTGACTCAGATGAACTGCAGGCGTAGAGGTGGGGAAGGTCGGGTTATCTTGTGATCCCTGGTGGCTCCCTGCTGAGACACATATCACAGCACGACACGCTGCTCCTTTGGGTGTGTACAAGTATGTGTGTATGCACACATCCGACGCACACACACACGCACACACACACATACTGACATGGTGTGCCAGACTGACCAGGCACAGGAGAGCAGACGTGCTAAGGTCTCTCTCTCTCTCTCTCTCTCTCTCTCTCTCTCCACTGCAGTGTCAGTAACCAGATGCAGACTGGCACGGCCCCTCCCCTCCTGCCCTCACCCTCCTACATATGGTTTACACATACAGCACGTGCCCCCTCCTCCCCCCTCCTCCCCTCACCACCCATGTCTTTTTCCGAGCTTGCCAAGGTCGACCGTAGGTCAGGCGTGGCTCGCTCGACCCTCTGTCTGTTGTCTTTCACTGGACTAACCCTCCGTCTTTGAAGACAAAGCTCCGGAGGCCTTGCCTGAACTTACATCACATTTCTGTGAGTCACACATGCATATATACGTGCACGGACGGAGGGCGGTCTGTGTTTGTGCTCAAGCCGCCTCTGTGAGCCTTCACGAGGCCGCTCCATGGACCGCTCCCTCGCTCCCTCGCTCCCTCGCTCCCTCGCTCCCTCGGCACATCTTTTTTTGACAGACGTGTGACCTTGACTTCCCCTTGTCTGATGTTTTATGGGGAGTGTGGCTGCTCTTTGATGCTGTCACCGTCTGAATGGATGGATGGATGTTTGGGCGGATCAGAGCGGGCGGAGACGCACAGATGATAGAGCAATCATCTCTCTTTGGTCGGAGAAGGCACCGCCGACATGTTGTGACATCACAGCAGCGTATCTCATGCATCACAATACCCGGTGACCATTGACCTTTTGATTGGCTGCCCCCCCCCCGCCCCCTGTATTTGGCCATCAGGTTCTGATAGATAGAGAAGAAATAGGGTGGGCTCTAGTCTTATTGGGTCACCTGGGGTCACGTAAACCACTTCAGTCATCAGATCCCCTGCGTTGGTGTTTTTGTACGGAGGTGGTCTTGGCCTCAGGTTCAAAGCTGGTGCTGTGACAATATATCATCCATCAGGGAACGAGGAAAAGAAAACACAGCTCGGGTTTCACAAAGGTCCAGTCATATCAGCATATAATTCATAACAGTTGTGGTAACCTGATCCAGCATGAAATCACAGGGGGCTAATATTTACACACACACACACACGTTTAATCATGAGTGGTACCAGTTCCTGACTGTTAAATAACCCCCCCCCCTCCCCCTTGCCGGCTATTTTCAATTTTTAAACCCACTCTTCTTTCATTCATTAATGTAACGTCACCTTAAACCTGCTGAATAATCCACAGGTCCAACGATGATGAGAAAGAGTTTCTGTTTATACCATTTGACGTGAGGTTGTCATTGTTGTCAATCATTTTCTTTTCTTTTTCTTCCTGCTGTCATTAAAAAATCACTGACCTGTTTGTGTTCTGTGTTCTGCAGATCCGAGTGGACGGACCCCCGTACGGCGGCGCGCAGTACGAGACGATAACGGTGGTGAAGGACGGCAGCCCTATCCTGCGGGACATGGCCTTCTCCCTCGACCGCAACTACATCTACGTAATGTCTGAGAGACAGGTAGGAGTTCGAACCCCTCTTATCACACCGCGAACCAAACACCTGTCACTGAGTGAGCGTACGTTTAAATGTCAGCAGACGTGTGTGTGTGTGTGAACATGTGTGTGTGAGACCAACATCATTGGCACTGCCACCCTGGGTTGGTTATAAATAACCCAGGTGGCACGGCAGGGGACGTGGTGACAGCGTTTGATAATGAAGGAGAACAGGGTCGGGGGGAGTCAAGGCAAAGACATGGCATAAATGAGAAAAGGCGAGAGAAAGATGAAGGGCACTTTTTGCCTGTTTGGTTGGCTGCTTGTCTGGAACCGGCGTAGAACAGGAAGAAGAGTGATGGAAGGGACGACGGCGGCGGCGGTGGTGGCGGTGGAGGAGCGGGCGTATGATTTAGAAAGAGTAAAGAGAGACACTGAGAGGGAGAAAAGAGACAGAGCACAAGGTCACGCCTTCATTTCACATGGAACGATGTGACACGGCGTCGGGAGACAGGTGGAGGGAGGCCAGCAGCCGTCAGCGCTCCTGACATACTAAGTAGGCAGAGACGGCAGGAGTGGAGCGTGGCTGCAGAGTCAGAACAAAGGTGAAAAGACGAGAGGAAAAAAGCAGCGTGGAAAATAAATGAACGGAGAAAAAGAAGTGTAGAAGAGGAGCTGCAGCCGAGGAGGAGGGAGACATCACAGAACCCTGGAGACAAACAACGTGAAGGGCTGTCAAGTCGAGGTGATAGATTGCCATCCTCGCTCCTTATCTGAGCTGTTAACACACTCAACAACTGCCTGGCCAGAGCTGCAGGTTGGAAACTGGTGGGCAGAAATGATGGGGGGGGGGAAGGTAACTGAAACAAGTGGGTGTCCCTTTTTAATTGGTTAGGCCTGGATGAAAACGAAGAGCTGTGATTGGATAAGAATTCATCGACTCTGTTTCTCCATCATGGATGTCACTTATCAGTTTCATTCCTTATTGATCGTCTTATTAATTCTTAGTCGATGGGAAATAAAATATACTACAGAAAAGTTTATTATTATCTTGGACTAATGTAAAGAATGTGTAACATTTGATTGGGACGGAATTGAAACTGCAGGATTAAAATAACGATTTCTCTACAGAAACTAAAAGGTTAAAAAAAATACATCTGCAGTTTTCAACTTCATGTCAGTTTTTATAAAAACGTAATAGCTGTGAGTCTAACCGAAGGCTGCCGCTGAGTTTCATTGGATAAATTAGTTATGACATCACAAACAGTCTTAAACTCAGCAAATTAGAATGTGTAAATTAGTTGTGACATCACAAACAGTCTTAAACTCAGCCGAGGCAGAACAGAGACGAACACAGCAACAGGTCCGATGGTGACTTATCAACAGACTCGACCTGAGGTTCCAAAAATGTTTGGTTGACACATGGTTTGAACGTCGACCAGGACTTTTCAACAAGTCAGTGTCGTGGCATCGACACCATCGACATGTAGGGCATGAAAGACGGCACGTCGGTGGTCAATGAAGCTAGCTGTGTGGCTAAATGTTTTTGTGTGCTGCAGTTTTTTCTCCGTCTTTTCAAAACTGCTGTACTTAAACAGCCTGTTGACGCAAAAACTGTGATTTTTCAAATACTCATTCATGTACTCACATACAGAAAAAGACAATTCTCACGGTGTGTCCCTACAGCAATAGTGTTTTTAAAAAACAAAAAAAATACACTATCAGAATTTTAGAAATATCTAAACAAATATGAAGACCAGGGGTTGCCAACTTTGGCGTCAGAGTTCTGTTTCTACCGTGCATCGTAACTCGTTTTTCCCGAGGACCCCTGCTGGAGACAGATCTGTGTTGTTCCAAGTCTCGGAGCAGGAACCTGATCCTAAGTCACGTATTTTACTAGACTGTGATGAGATGCAAATATATGTCTGTGTTTCACTGAGAAGACTGGGTCTTTCCAACATCTGCATGGGAAATCCAGCATGTGACCTTTATCAGGAGGTTGACCTTGGCTTCAGCCCCGGCTACATTTAAAGTCAGAACTCCTAGAGCAGTGCGAGAACCTCTGCGGTCTCTGGCTCTGCCGTGTCCCGTGTGTTGGGCTGCTGCAGTCTGAGGCCAAACATATGGAGATGGGAGACAGGCAGAACAAAGACGGGATGATATCAAGTAGAACGCAGGGCAGATTTGGCTCCAGTTGCACTTCCTACTCTGAATAACAAAGAGGCCCTCTGTGTTTGGCACAGTGGGAAAGAGAAAATGCAGGGAGAGCGAGGCAGACCCTGAATGACACGCCGCACAAGAGGGAGACAGAAATTGGAAGCGAGTAATATTTGCTTATTGAGGCCGTGCTCCTTGCTCCCTGCAGTCCTCACACCTGTCTGTGTTTGTTGTGGTGGAGCCGAGACTTATGGGATGTGTAAAGCCTTTGTAAAAACAAACATGTTGGCAAACACTCCTCCTCACCCCCCCAC